ATGATCACGTATCTACTTGGACTAAAAAGTTGTTGATACCGTGATAGCGTGCTTGAAAATATGTGGGTATTCATTAATACCTGGAAATTCCTAAACTATAACTCGGACTCGACATTTAACGTTTTTATGGAATACAGTTTGGAATTAGTATAGAACAACCTATTAAAAAAAGTTATTGACCATTAATTCATGATTATATAATAAATATATTTCTGTTTTGAGTATTCCACTCTATGTAGTCTTTTCATTTCACACGATTCAAGTAGTGTTAGATAATTGGCTGTAAAAATGTTGTGCCTCCTTCGCGTGTACTGGGTGCATTTTTCGGGCATTGTTTCCCAACTTAAATTTTAATGAATCTCGCTACTTTACTTATTGCATATAATTAATCATTTCAGATACCCAGCAGTTATGTGATTATGATGTGCAGAATATAGTCCCTGTGATATAGTATACAATCTGTAATACTTTAATACGAACATTTCAAAAACATTTTTAATTTTTTTTTTCCAGGCGTCAGTCACATCAAGTTACTTGTTAGTATTAAATGGTGATGTCTGTCTGATATTAACACTCTGATATATCCCGAATTTAACAGTAATAAACTTGAAATTTGTAGACCCAAGCAAACTTTAATACTAAGTTTTCGTCACAAACAAAGTATTGTGTGTCCATTAAGTCTAATTTGCATAAAGCACATTTCCGGATTCTCCACAAAAATATGTTATTTAGTAAGTTTGAACTTGCGTTTCTTTTATTTATGAAAATATGACACAGCTAACTCGGCTTTAGGTAAATTAAAATATATATTTAACATAATTTTTCAATATATCAAAATGTTGAACAGTTTTTATCTTATGCCGTGCTCCAAATCTTTAACAATTCTTCCCGCGTAAATTCATTATTGATCCCATAATTATTTGACGATGAAATATGAACAGTTATATGTGGGTTTGTATGAGCAAAATTATTATATTTGACTTCGCAGAAATTAATATCTAAACGTGCGTCAACCTGGAATGTGTTGACTGTATAGCGTCAAAGCGAATAATACATGTATCATCGCGGCCACTAAATAACCATTTCCTCGAATCACTAGCACTCTCACCCAGAAGTGAAGATGAACTATAAAGTATAATATAATAACGTTTGATATAATATTGAAGGACATACTCAAATTATTGATACCCGAAGTACTCTTTCTTTTGTAACTTTACAGTATTTCAACATAGAAAGTTGAATATCAGAAGGTTGCAAAGAAACACTTATAATGTGTTTTGTTGCACTTTGTATCCAAACAAGTCTTGTATTACAAAGACGTTGCATCAACAAACCCCACTCGCGTATTTCGTCTAGATATTATCTTCTACTTTACAAAAATTTACAATTCAACGACAAGAAGACATTAATGATTACCAGGAATTTTGCATCTGAAATATTTGATTAGTATCTTCATTTGCTTAGGGTTCCACACTTTATATTTTATAATGTCGTGCTTGTAAACAACCTCAACAGAGGCCATGTTTTGTTCGTCCTCTCACGTGTGTTGCTAGTAACCTAATCACATTTCATTTCGACATACACGTTATTCATTCTCCAATACGCATGCTATGCAAGACGAAAAAGATACTCATATATATGAGTTACTCGGAATTATTCTTAAAGGGCGGTAGTCGTCGCGCTGCGCATGTGCGACATTTGTGTTGATAAACATTGATTTTCCCACAATCCAATGCGCTCTTTTAATGGAAATCACAAGTATGGGGTTTGACTTGTGCGCGACTTGCACTAATTTCTGCTCGTGACTCCTTCGATACCTTCTAAACACCTAATAAAATACCTAATTTAAGCTTGGTAAAGTCTCAGTTTGTACTCGTTGATATTGCGAAATAGTCAAAGTCGCCATCTTTGTTTATTATATGAGACCCATATATCTCGCGCATGCATGGCGCGACGACTACGGTCTTCAGCATGGTATTCTTCGTCGAAAGAGTCAATGTATCACGCCATGCTATATCTATATACAGCTATTGTATTTCACAAATGGTAATTAAAGTCACCTTCATGACTTTTAAATTAGGCTCACACGCCATGATCGCTTTTTACATCCACTTCATGATTCCCAGTAAGCAATTAAAACCGAAGTGATTGCTATTGAGTGTGGCAGTAGTAGCCTCGCACATGAACGAATACCAACATTGACTTATTAGCTAAATTAAATCGCCCATATTTAATTCATGTAAACGCCATGCAGTTGTGACAAATAGTAACTCCAATGTCAAACCTTGTTAACGGGTGGTGATCGACGCTCCACGCATGCGCAAGATATGGGTCTAATATAAACAGCGACAGTAGAAACTGAGAGGTTACCGAGCGTTTTTTTGATGATTGGATGGTAACGAAGAAGTCATCGGTGGTAATTATTGCAATTGGCACCCAGGGCAAAACTGGTACTCGGGATTTCATTTGATAGGCGCATTGGATGTTTTGACAATCAATGTTTATCAACACAAATATTGCAAATTCGCAGCGTGACGACAACCATCCTTCACTGTGACCACTCCAAAAACATTCTTATATCATAATACACTTAAGATATATAATGCAGGTTCCCGGGCAGTCGCAGCCCTAAACGTGTTATTCTTTGCATTGTTTATACACAGACAGTCTTTCCAGAGCTCAACCACAAGTGAAACATACAAAAACACGATCAAATTACCATGACAAGTGCATTTTTTCGAATGCATTGTATAATTTGCAAGGCTGTACACAGACAGTGACAAGTTTGGTTGTGAAAGCAATCTGATTAAAATCTTATGTATAGTACTTAATGCGTGCATTTTCATTTTTTTTATTAGCATTAGTACATTTTTTTATTATTTTAACTATCGCTATATCTGAATCGACCCATATATATTGAGATTTCAAGGAGTCACCCTCAATCCTATACATTTTTCTACTGCGCGTCCGTTCACGTCACAGGTCTGAACCGGTCCCAAATAAAATGACGATTTCTACCGATGTTAGCGAAGAAAACGATCAAGACATACAGGATTTGGGTTTTCGGTTTGTTTACTATTGTTAAATGCAACGAACATCGATCCATAAATTACATAAAATTGTGGCATTACGTCACCAATTTAGGTGTTTTTTTTGAATGGTCATTTATTTTGTTCACTGTTCGATCGAACTCTGGTAAGTGTTTGCAGTCGTTGGACGCACTGGAGGCGGGTTTTTTGACGATAGGGCCCAAATCGTTGACTACATCGAATCACTGGTTGTAAATGGAGTAAAATTTGAACAGATTTTCTCCGTATTCGGAACACAATCGTTGCAACCCAGATGATCAGGAAATCTGTTTAGCGTATAGTTAAAGGTTGAATCAGCGTAGAATTTAAATGTTGCATTGTTTGGGAAAATATATAATACTATAACTGTGATTTATTGTTATTGTTGTTTCCATTCTAGTTAATTATGCCCAGTGTTTAGTTGGATGTTGATCCCTCAACATCAATGAAGTGATAGTTTAATAAACATACCTTGGCTGAAGAAGATGTATCTGGAAGTGTACACATTTGTTGGAATTGAAAGATATTCATTGAATGGAATCTCATTTGTGAGTTTAAGAAATGTAATTTGATTGATTGGACAAATACAGGGAATTGCCCATTAATTGTATTGCTACTCTGCAAAGAATGAATCTTTCGCAACAAAATGCGATATTAGAGCGAGAAACGAACATTTACTAGCAGTTCAGCAACACATCTAAAGTAGTTCAAACTATAACTTGTATTTTTTGTGTCGTATAGTTAAAATTACCATTTAGGAAGATGGACTCTCCGATTGCACACGTGTTTTAAAACTTGTGTATATTCGTATTTTTGGTTTCTTGCATTTCACCTACTATCCATTCTGCACCCACGAAAAACCATACACAGTCTGTATTTAAAATAAATTAATTGAGCTTGTCGGAGAAGTACTTCTGATACGGGCCCAAGATGAAGCCAATATAGAATGTAGCGTTTCGAATTCCGAGCAAAAATAAGAAAGCGACTCCATTCACCAACAATTTTTTGCATTTTATTGGAATTCCTCATTCCCATTTCTGAATCGTATGTCAAAATAAATGTCACTCAACTGTCAAGTTGTTGTTATAGGTTTATTTTATTATCAAGAATGTACATATGAAGAAAACAATTAAATGTAATTAGTTCTCTTGTATAATTTACAACATACAACTTCAGTTTGTCCAGTTCATCGTATTTCTAATATATTGATTGTAGATCAGAGAACTGAAATTCATTAGACGGATTGGAGCAATGTATAAACAGTATTCTTATTGACTTCTACATGTTGAGACTTAATTTATGTGTCTGGTTACTGAATCACAACAGAGAAGCTACAACTTATGTAAAAGCGGTGCACACGTACGTAATGTTGTATCAACACACAGGTCTGCATTCAAATGAATGAAATGATCCGGACAACTTCTAGACAAGTATTACGCGATTTAGAGATTAGCGATTGGTCGCTATAATGGGTTTGTGTTGTTTTCTGGTTACTTTTAGTAACCTAAACGTGTATGTTTTCTCAGATAGAATGAGGATTTCCATGAATCGATGACTTTGAGAATATATGTACTATTTGTCACCTCTATATGGCACTGTACATGAATTAGGTATGGTCGAGTTAATTCAGCTAATAAGTCAATGTTGTTATTCGCTATAATATTTGAGACTACTACTGTCGCACTCAAAAGTAATCACTTCGGTTTTAATTGCTCATTGAAAATCATGAAGTGGATGTAAAAAAGCAGCGATAACATTGATCATGGCGTGTGGGTCCAATTTAATTGTCACGAACGTGACTTTAATCATCAATTGTGAATTACGATGATTTCCCAGTGTTACTATAGCTTTCACAAATGCGTTCATTCAGCGGACTATATAAGCCTGATGTGATACCATCTGTGACACACACTGGCATTCCGAGGAGCAAGACTTTGGTGAAAACGCTTGTTTTAAAGATAACACGGAGCATACCATGTAAGTATACATGTGTGCATTGAGTTACATTTGTTTTGCATGTCACGCACATTGGAGTATTAATTAACATACATATCGACTATGTAAAACTAAATGTTGTAGATTTCTTACAAATCATTTAATCAGTGTGTTAACGTAGATGCACAAAAAAAACTTTCAGTGTGGAAGTTGCTTGCGAAAAGGTTACGGACCATAGCATTATAACAATTCGGAATAAAAATTGAGAGTAAATCACTAATTTCGCTTCATCGTTTGAAAACCGAAAAGTGTCTTTAAAAAGTCATTTGTAAACGAAATACTTTTGCGAAACTTGTTTTAGTCTTTGTCAATGTATTTAACCATACTGACGTTTGTTGAGATGAAGCATGCAATGAAATTCTTTGTGAGTGTTTTCTCTTATAATATTATATTTGCAAGTGTCTGATTTTCTCGTTTTTATGCTAGCGATACTTTAAAGTTTCGATAAAAGGTACAATTCGAAGTGTGTAATATATCAGCTTTGATATCGAACTTTATTTGATATTATTTAAACAGTTCAGGTGAACTAGAGTTAGAGCGTTAGTGATTTGAGTTACATGGGAAATGGTTTTTAGTGGCGGCGACAGATACATGTATTTCTTGTCTGAAACTACGTGATTCGATGCTATACAGGCAACACATTCAAAGATTTCCTTGAGCTGAGAAGTCAATTTGTGTGCTTCCTTTCTCACATAAAATCACATATTCATAATTCACATCAATTCGTGATCAGGCCAGTTATGGATTTTGCTGGGAAGTATCTTTGAATAATAGAGCGTATAGTTATTTCCAAGTAACGCAATATTACAGTTTTTTGTTATACTTTTATGGACATTATGCAAATAAGATTAATAGATAGACAACACTCCACAGTCACAATAAGGGATAAATACTCATTAAAGTTGCCCTTGGTCTGCAAATTTCTAATTTATTACTGTAAACTTCAGAAAATAATTCCCAGAATTAGTTCAATATTTGTAGTATGTAATATTTAATAATTTTGAAACAGTTTATGGAATAATTGTTTTGTATTTATAATTTTACATTATCTATATGTTTATGTATATATGCCACGTCCTTCAATTATATTGTAAAAACAATACATGCTTGCAATGAACAAATATATGTATTTGGTCAGCAGTTACAGAAAATGTTTCAACTACTAGTATTTGGCAGGCAAGAATAAGCGTCAAAATGGTTTGCATTTAGGTACTATATTTAATAACAGTGTAATAAAATGACAGAAAATCATGGACATTGGATAATTATAGCTATAGTAATGATACCATAAAATAGTCGCATACAAAGACTACCGACGTGCCGAGCCGCTGGCTAAGGGAACGCAAAGGAAAATGTTCATCGATATTTCCTGTATAAAGTGATTGTACACTGAAATTTCTCACTTCACCGTTAAATTGATATTCAATGGCATGTAATTGTCACGCTACAGTATAGACTAGAAGCATTAAGTACATTCTTACCTGTTCAATCTACAGTGTAGTTGTGTGCGTGGTAATCATAGATCGTTATCACTGCTCACGTACGTAATTCGGCTGTACACTAATCGAAAATTCACAATTTGGATTCATAATTGTATGGCATCACCGTATTGTACTATTTTTAGAACACCATAGAGAAGAAGTTAATGGGAAATTAAATGGCTATATTAGTTTCATCCTCAAGTTATTTCCACTTTTCATCCTGAAGTACAGATACGCATATGGTGTGCCTTGATGTCCCCGACACAAACAAATCCCCATTATACATATATGTTCGGCCGAACAGCCTTGAATAGTCGGATGAGCTGTAGAAATTTCAGTACTGCGTTATTCTATACTTGAACAAGTTTGGGATAAAATATTTTCTCTAAAGTCTCCATATCATGCTTTTAGCGTGTTTTTTAATGCTAAATAGATAATCCACAGATCAGAAACAATGTCCGTATTTTGTCGTTCTGTGAGTTTGATTCAATTCAATGTGCGTTTGATATAACAGTGGGGATTCTGTGAAACGTAATCCTATGAATTGGGAGTTATGGATTAAGGCGAATGTTAGCAACTTGTATAGCGACAGTAATGACTTGTGGTTAAAAGTCATCATTTTATTATCGATGAAAAAACTGTTTTTGTCACAATGAAATCGGTAGAAATGTAGTTTCACGTTCATCGTCTTGCTACATCTACACATATTCTAGAGAGGACAATTCATGTATCGGAATATAAACCATGTTACATGTTTAAAAAGTGCTGCTCTTGGCATAACATATAACATAATAGGTACTGTAACATACACATTGCTTTTAAAACAAACATTAACCTATATATATGGATGTATGCATCCTTCATCACGGGTTTCTCATTTAATTTCAGTCTGATGGCGAACGACAGTTTGGTGTTAAATGAGACACTATTTGACCTGGATGAAGAGAGTGAGAATGCTGGCGAAGATGAGTGCGAAGGTATTGATGGATGCTTCGAAGACATCCCGGTACCGCCCCAAGCATATTATGCCTTTTTCGGGTTCTCAAGTTTCCTTATAACATTTGGCAACCTGCTAGTCGTCATAGCTATACTCAGAAACAAGAAGTTACGTAGTTCAGCCACGAATACTTTAATTGTGTGCTTAGCATTTTCAGATTTGTTTATCGGGATTTTGTACTGCCCGTTCCAGGTGGTGAATATGGTACTTGGCGGCGTACAGTTAAGAGAATCGTATCTATGCCGGGGTTACGTAATATTCATCCGTATGTCATTCACAGCCACAACAATGTCATTGTTAGCAATAGCAGTGGATCGGTACAGAGCAATCGTTCAGCCAATGCAACCACGAATCAGTTTGACACAGGCTAGATATATATCAATTGCAGTCTGGATAGTATCATTCATTTTCAACAGTAATGTATTTGTTAGCTATCGCATAGTCACGGAGACTTGGCAAGAGAACGGGCAAAACGTGTCCCATGAAGTATGTGACGTACCGTACTACTTGGTTCACATCGAATATCGAATGAAAATTGTCTATATAGTTGCAATTTATCTAGTACCTTTAGTAGTGTTGAGTACGCTTTATGCTAGAATGATAATCACATTATATTCGGGAAAATCCATTAATGATGAGTCCCGGCGCCGTAAACGTAAAGCCATTAAAATGTTAATTGTTGTTGTTATAATGTACGCACTTTGCTGGGGTCCGTACAGGGTTCACCAAGTGCTTTATGCTTACGACGAAAGCTGGTTCACAGATTCATATTTTATTCTCACTGTCATTAGTTTTATTTTTATTAGTAACAGCTTTGTGAACCCCATCATTTACGCGTTCTGTAACCGAAATTTCCGGGATGAATTCATTCTCATTTTAAGTTGTGGTGCAATACGTCCCCCGGCTAAGAGTGCCAGGCAATACAGCAGTAAGTTCACAAAAAGTACGGAGGCTGCTGAATCTTCAATAGCGAGCAAGGGTGTAGAATTACAGGAAACGAAACAATATACCGATATGGCGAAGATTTTAGAGGTTGAAGAAGGTGGAAATGTTTCGGAATATGAAAATCCGGTCTCGAAGGAGGGGGCAGAACACGTAGAAAATAATGTGCAGTGTGCGACTATCTCTGATGTTGAATTAGTACACACAAGCGACGATACTGACGCACAACATCTGACTTCGGCTATAGGCACACAGACAACACTTGGATAGCTACTGAATTAATTAATTATGAAGAATAATATTTTGTTTGTGAAGTTCGATTATCAAGTTATAATATTTATCGGTATAGATGTCTGTGTGGTATTGACATACACGTTTGGGATAAATATAAAGATATTTTTAATATTTTGACACATTAAATATTATAGTATATTTAAATATAGTTTAAATTCAATGTATGTTTTTATTCCAATATGTGAGCATCAGAACATTATCCGAGCTAAGACGGTTGCAACAAACGCCAATGGTGTTTTCAACGTTTTATCAGGGGGAAAAACTCCTCTCTCTCTGGGTTCTCCACACTTGTCAGGGGGGGAACTCGTCTCGTCTCTCTATCTATCGGGAAAGTCACTTTAACTTTACAGTCAAATAAGACATACACAACGAAATACGTTTCAACTCTCGTCTTAGTCGATCTTTTGGAGCACTCTATAAGACACAGCGCCCTGGGGAAAAGTCCCCAAGACTCTCACAAGGCTGAACCAAGACTCGCCCAAGACTGGACTGCGTCAAGGCTCGCCCCTGGACTCTCTCGGACTCTCGACTGCCCAGGACTGCACTCGACTTCGTCTATCGTGGAGTATTCGCCAAGACCAACTCAAACTCTCTATATTCATTTTCAAAACTCTAACCAATTACAAAACAGTAAAAGACTCTAGGGCGTAACCTTCAATCATAAAGCCAATCACACTAAATACTGAATACGTCATATCTTTTGATTAATCGTTCACTACATTAATAACTACGGATGTCAGAATAGCGACGGTATCTTGTAATTGGTTCCAAATCACTGAGCCAAGTTCCGTCCAACACTTCAAATAGACCTGAACGATGACAGACATAACACAGCAATTCGCTAATAATCAGTTAATTAAGTCGGTCAACAGATACGCAAAAACAAATTCATGACAGTTTTAACAATTTTAACGTGCTCAATGTATATCTTATTGAGTCTTTTATGATTTTTTGGAATTGTGTGATACCACAAGATTTCCCACGGAAGTACGAAATATATACATCTGTCTGTGTATGTGAAATAATATTGCCTCTTCTTCTCGTAGACCGTCTTTCCCGGCATTCCTGTTCCACTACTACTCAATTCCGTTCTCACGGTCTCTGCTATTGTTTACCATCTCACCCGGCATTGCTAGTATACTATACCTTTATAATCATTGGGTATTTAAAAAACGCTCAATCATAAATATATTTTTGGGGAATACAAAAACATGTAAACTTACTAGCAAGGAAACATTGTTTAACGAACATCGTGTGTGACTTTATAATATTAAAATTGTGTAGACTAGTGGCATTTAAATGCTATAATATCTAGAACTTGGTTTTGTTTTCTAAGAATTTAAATATATTTAACTTGTTTCATGGATGTTACTAGTTTAAGTAATTATATTTGCTATGCATTGTTAGTCTAGATAACAACACAAAGTATGTGGTAGATATATGCACAGTTAGCATTATCACAAACTCTATGTCGGTTATATATCATAAACACTAAGTGTTTTTTTTAAATAATGTGTAGAGCAAAATATTCTCTTTGTGAATCATGATGACGATTGGTGTGGTATTCTCCCCTCGAAGACACATTTAATAGCTATTTCTAACTCAGCTTTATTACAAATTGACAGATGCTTATTTTCATATTCAAGCATGTTTTTAACTAATATCTCAGAAATTAACAATGTATCCGTCTGATTGTTTTCTTTAGAAAATTGGCGTTTCATGTATTAGTTTAACTTTGTATGCATGACTGGATTATATATTAAGAAAATAAACAAATTGTAATTTACAAATAATTTTGAAAAAATATAATTTTTGTACAAGCAGATTTACACTTGGTATTACAAGTACAGATTATTGGATGAATATACATTTTTGTAATGTTCATTGTAATGTACTGTTTTATTATAATGTTGTAATAAGGAAATAATTCAACTAGAGTACTATTGACTCGCCTTGTAACCTTGTAGCTTTTTAATTGGTACTGATTGGATTGTTAGGTGATTTGGCAGCCAATCAGGTACAATATTATAGCTTCGCATTGAATCATTTTATTTACAATTCTTTTTAACGGATTTATGCTGCAGTAATTATATTCAGTACGATTTTGCTAAATATGTATTCACTGGTCTTTATTATAGCGACTACTAATGGAGTATCTGAAATGAGTAAATTATCAAAAAAACTGGTATACCATTTAACGACAAATCTATCTCCTAAATAGCAATGTATATTTTGTCAATATTTGTGTATTTAAGATTTGTTTGTTTAATATTACTTTATATTTGTACAGTATTTGTATTTTGTATTTGTCTAGTCTATAGATAAAAAATAATATAATGTTGTTTTGATAATAGATGATAAATCTAAATCAAGTTTATTTATTTTTTTGCAATTTTCATCTATTGTGATAAAGATAGGTTGTAATTTCAATGTAATGGCTACTTAATTACTGTAATGTTCAATCAATGTATATCACGCATACAAATTAAAGATAGTCGTATTCACGTTCCACTTAGTACCACTTATTTTATATATAGTCAATTGTTAAAATGTTAGTGGTAATTAAGGCGCTTTATTTATTTTTTTGTTCGTGTCACATCTACTGTGTCAGTCACAATATTATTATTATCACCATCATCATTATCATCAATATCTGTATTGCCTTGGATATGTCATATTGAAATGAGTGTTCATATAAATTTACGAGCGTGTTGACCAGTCTTGTAATCATTTATATCGTGAGAAGCAATTTATCACCTATCGTGTACACGCACCCATCCATAAATCAATTAACAGTGTGGAATACAACTATTGCAGTAAAATTCGTCCTCGCGACCCAAATAGACCCCCTGGTGGCGCAATGCATTTCACTAATCTTACGTTATGTGCTGCAACTATATTAGATAGATGAATGCAATGTAACCCTCACGGAGCTACATTGAGTATTAATTACATAATTATTTGGATAAATTAAATTTATCTAAACAGACAAATATGGTTTTATTGCCAGATAAGATTCTAACTCGGGTAAAATAAAAATGTATTACCTGTCTGTCCTCTTTCGGCAGAGAAAGGCAGGGGGTTGGGTATAAGCTGACTGAATAATCACTTCACTGTTTGGGGGTGAAAAACCAGCAATCGGACAATTTACTAATATTTTATAAACATTAATAATAAAGATTAACAGTTTTTCTAGGACATTATCATAATTATTATATGCCAGCATTTTAATTTCCCCACGTTTTATTTTATTATTCAAGACGTTGTATAATAGGCTATATACAATGTTACCGAGTACTAAGCACCACACATTAGAGGTAAATCTTTCTTTCTACTGAAATCGGCAAAGGTAATATTTATTTGATAAGAAAATACAAATATTGTGACTCCTAAATATTTTGGGTTCAAAAGAGATGCATGAATTTCTTTTTCAGAATTACACAAACGACTCAAAGATATTACGGTCTACTGTAGATTCGCTCGAAAACCTGGAAGTATTGATTTCTCGCATGTCAGTAAGACAACTCGTTATTTGGTCAAAACTTATCACCCCAAACATCACCATACTGTGAAGTCGCAGTCCGAAATCCACCCCTCTTTGCAGGCCCATGTTAAATTTCTCCATTTTAGAGATTACCACATAGTCACTGAATCTCCCTTCGACAAAGAACATAGAAAGTTATTTTCAGTCAAACCAGTGACAGTGAGAGATTGATACCTCCTGTACACGATCCCCTTTTTTATGTGATGTGTAGCAGATCGCCCTGGGGTCTTTTTCCCACATTACATTTTCTTAATCCAAGGTAATTTTGGTGGGATTCCAGGTTTAATTGGAGTACTAAAATCCAGAGACTATTCCGGGGTTTGGTCTTCACACGAGTCCCAACCCTATGTTCCCACAGTCAGATGTGGGCAAACATTTTCAGATTAGCCACCTCTTGATCTTCCCATGCGTGCCTCCAGATAGAGGAGGAGCGGGAATATCATCACCTTTGAGTACCCTTATATGTGCATAAGGACGTACACCTACCTTATATGGGTGGATCAAATCGTCCCTGGATACAACCCCACCAGAACTGTTACCACACACATGACCCTCTGCTTTAGTATTGACATTCATTATTCATTATTTGCTCTGAATATGTTAATCGACTGTGTCAGCTAACCTAAGTACTGACTCGTGTGGATCAGACCTGCTATCAAATAAGGATAACACATACTAGAGTATAACAATCAGGTCCACCGCCTTACCTTCACTTTGGTTTATGCTAGGAAGCTCCATCCATCTATTCAAATAACTCCTTAACCTGGTTACATATATAATTGTTTTTTGATTTTATGTTAGGTGGGATTTCCCTGATGTAACTTCTCCCTACGCCCTTTCTCACTCGGATGGTATACAGTTAACGCTATTCCAATCCTGAGCATTAGTGATTCTCAAGATGTGGCATATAGCAAGGACCCTAGCAGCAAAAGCTATTCCCTGCGAGTTTTTATAGGCCATTTACACCCATGATTTTAGCAGAAAGAGGATATGGCGAATTTTCTAGTTCTCATTTTAGTCTATTTTTAATTTTGTCTGATGCTTTCTATAAATCCCTTCTATGCTTTTCTTCGACATAAAAATTAATCATTATTGTGAATTAATGCTTATTTTGTATTATGTGTGTTATAAATTGTCGAAGGATGAATGGAGGGCTAATTTTAAAGTGGCTTAGTCAATAGTCATTTGGAGTTTGTAATCAGTTAACTAAAAAATACCTACGCTGCTTTGCGTCATTTCACATTTTGCTATGATAATGGTTTTGTTAGTTTGCCTTGTACGCAAATGTCTGCGGTAAAGTGTGTCAGCCTTTTCTTTTGAAAGCCTGAACTTAAACATCATTCCTAATGTTATAATAAAAAACGGTTGTCTCTTTATTAATATGTGATCTGCTGTAAACAAACAACTAAAATAACTACCAACACTGTTAAGAATACATGATATAGTTTTATTAATCAATAAACCTGAGAGACAAAATGGAATTAAACTATTGATTCGTATTTAGAAATGTTCATGGGAATATTGGACTGTATTGTCCATAGTGATTGTTGCAGTTTCAGGTAATATTATGTACCACCATTACCATTACCATTATTTCCTTTAGGGACCGACGTACATGTGCAGTCAAAGTTATCTCCCACTGTATATGTTCCAGTGTTGTCATCAATTAAGGCCACGAGTTTGGCATTCATACCGCACCCAGGTCCAGGAGCAACTGTGGTAAATTCGGAGCCTGCACGTCGACGGCCACCCCTATACAGAGGAAAAAGACGTTAGCAACGACATTTCACTTAGCAACACTAACTATGATCAGTGCCTACATCGTAACATTCCTGCGGTGTGAGAATTAAATAAAGAGTAATGGTAATTGCTCTGATATAGCTGGCATTAGAATTTTCAGTAATTACATATTATGTCAAGATTCAATTAAGATTTGATTTATTATTTAAATTCATATAAATAATTCTAAATATCATTCAATTTTCATTAGGCAAATTCATTTGAAAATTTCTATATTTGACTAATTTAATATTTAATATGCGTGTACTTACTCAAATGCAAAGCCACTTTGTATAGTGGCCATTATTATGCTACATGCTACCAGTACATACATGTAGGTAAGCAGTGACATCTTTGCTGGAAATTCTGTGACAGAGAGATAGACATAATTTTTATTGATATGTATTGTATGTTGAGATAATTATGAGAATAGCAGAAAGTATACACGAAGGCAGTGCGGTGATCATATCGACCTTCTCGAAGCATTGATACCAGTTCCGTCATGGGAAAATATCGAATGTGACGTAAATATGACGCACATTTACCAAATAGGGAAGATGTTAATAATATTTTCGAATTCGATGATATGATGCATGATTTTTTGAATCCGATGCACCACCAATATAGAGTGTAACGGAAATGTAATCACATTACTGAACGAAAGAACCTCGAACGAGTTCCGCTGATATTTATCATTATTAAAATATATATGTTACGTATAACTATTACATTCGCCGACGTGTACTGAATGTGAGCGAATAATTATTGCGAGCTGTGAACATGGTAGTTATAAATTATTTAAATGTACTCGAAAGCATATATCGAGACGCTATGCATAACACAAATATAACACAGTGAGCAAATAGTATTGAATATGAAACTGATATTACTCAATGACATCACATAGACAACACATGTATGTTGTGATATCGCGTGTATATTGGTAAACTATTTCACAGCCAGCTCTGAAAACACGCGATTAGTGTCTAAAAATAACATAAATCCACTCGTTCTCATACTATTAACACATTAAACACTTCCCAAATTCAACAATTACCTACTGCACTTAACGTAACTATAATAACAAATGAACATATTACCTGAGAACAAGCAGTGTACAAGTTGAAGTCGTTGTAATGCAGTAACATTGACCAGCAATGACTGTATTTATACAGTTTAATCCAGATTTGTAACTTAGCGAAAAAAAACTTGATCGATGTTTTTAAAAGTGCTCTAGATTTAATTACTGGTGAACTTGATGAAAGAATTTGTAAATGAGCTTCCATTAACATTGTTTCAAATGGATACTACCGCGCATAATAGGAATACAATAAGATAACCATTCAATTAGGCGAGACATTATTGTACCTCACACTTTTCACTATCGACGTGGAAGTACACGCTCTATTATTTCAACTTCGTGCATTCGACTATTCGCATATATGATTAGCATTACTAACATTTCTCTATTTAGTTCTTAGTTGCATGTTTCAACACTTTTACTGACGGTTTAAAAATAGCCTATAGTTCAAGTGCATCTGATTAGATATGATAAACAATCAAATACATTCTCCATCTAAGCCTCTCCAGGGGCAAATATTATACACAAACATAGCAGTGTTCGTTTCCTTTGATGTTTCAACCACACGTAAGAGTAGCTATAGGGATTTATCTAAGTTTAATGAAGTGTTTTCGATTGTGAAAAAAGATTTTTTTTCTTCTCGCTACCTTTAATCAAAATTTCTTGGATAACCTATTGTGTGTATACACATTGATGTACAATGCTGAATATGCAAATAAGCATGGCAATTAAATAGAGTTGAGTTGCCAAATAAATACTTTAAAACGGCGTGTAATCCTACCATAACAGATACTTTATAACCAAACAACCATTATCTCTCCATCCGCTTTGAGAAATCGCATGGTTGATTCCATGAACCATGTTCATTAGAAAATCCTCTTCTACAAATATATGAATATGTACTATTCAAAACAACATTCACATTGCCTGGAAACACATTTACGTTCATGTATCATACACAATTAAGGAATAATTATTGATCATTTAAATACTTATCATTCATGTCAATTCGCGACAATAACATTTACATTATATTTTTTGAAACCACCAAATTAGTTTTCTGGGAAAATCCGTATTTTAAGACAATATATGTTTGCATGTATTGAGAACAGTACATACGTTAGTATGGTGTTAAAATACAACGATGTTTTAGTTTGAACTTATGAATTGATTTAAAACAAAATATACAAGTTGAATTAGAAAATGTTAAAAGTGAGTACATCCTGCTTCATATTCGTAGTTATATAGTCAAAGTCTCCATATAAACTTATATCTATAAACTTACATTTTGGCCATCATAAAGTCATTTTGATACTATTACTACATTTTACAACGAACGAGCATAATACTATTATACTCAAAGGTTTCGCTCTATGAAATATTGTCCCTGAATTTGCACTGTCTTTGAAACTAAACATTAGGACATTAATATAAACAGTTGTTCTCAATTTCTGACCGCGAAACATTTATGATATGATATTGTAATCTTAGTATAAATCATTCATGTTTAGTAGTTACCAAACTATTTATGTGTTTTCTCCACATCGGATCCCCCGTTAAAGCCACATGTTTCAAATTCCCAAGACAATGATGAATGTGAATTTGTCTGCATTGAAAAACACAATGCTTTGGCACGCAATAAAGGTGTTATCTAATGATGAATTACTGGATTGGAAAACACTTCTCTGTAAATGTTGACAAAACAGCAGGGACACATCCCGGGGCAATACATAGAACTTGCCTAATGGGGACGTGCCCATGAAATGGGTCTCGTTTTTTTGGATTTTATGTATAAGTATCGGTCTTATTTCTAGTCAAGATAGGTATAAATATCGGTAATATTTTTCTGATTTGGTATACTTATGGGTCCGTATCTGAGCGAATATCTCCACCACAGACCCGGCCTCAGATCCATATATACATCAACCAGGAAATTAAACAAGGCAATCAACATTTAAACGGAGATTTAACACGGAATAGAAGAGAGTGCACATTCATCAGTGAATTAATTGGCTTACATGTGCTTCTATTGGAGATGCTCTTCTAATAGACCAAATACGGTAACTGTTTTATTTGGAATAAACAGGTATGACAGAAATGATACTTTGGTATAAATATGGGTATAGATTTTGCCACTATCCAGATATAAAAATGGTCACACTTTAGAACACTCAGGGGCATCTCCCTACCCAGCTATGTATCAACTGCCCCCCCCGGGGGGGGGACACATATATATTGATTTAGTTACACTGAGTGTATCCCGTGATTTTCAGCCGAAACGTTTGTAGCTTTTTCTGGAAATCTTGGATTACGTCATTCCGGTAATCAACAGGTGATTAACTAGTGTGTTTAAAAATGTTTCTCTATATCCAGGCGTTCAAACATTATATGGTAAATGTAGGTTTTGAGTGAGATAACAGACAGAGAATACTTTATTTAAAAACACCCTCCAGCTACCGTAAAGATGGGTCTCAATTCTCATTGTGGGAAAAAGTAATGCTCGTTATTGAAAACCGCACACGGGTTGTTAATAGAAATAGTATCATACACAAACATTTACGCAACCAAGAACAAAGAATTATAGATGAAAATAAACGACTGACATACATATTACAATACACAGAGATACTGATATATCGCTCTCGGACAATATACCTAATGTGTTTTGAAACGAGTGAGCACATCCTGCATCTTCTGTGACACTAGACATATATCATCTTAGCATATATGAGGGCGGTATTTACACATCTATGTGAGTCGCAGATTTCCCACCATCAATGCAAAACTGCTCAGAATATATAGTGGATGGTTGTAGAGACATGATTTAAACGAGGGTAGTTTATGAAATATAAAATAAGTAAGTTAGTTATTGGAGCAGATTTAATGATCACGTTACCGGGAATTGATTATTTTCCGAGTTAAACAATAATAAATTGCCTTGATAACCGTTACTTCAATACATTGCATGCATCACAATGCACACCACCCTTGATCAAACAGCATGGAAATGTTGACATGATTTATCACGCTGAGTATTGAGTTCGATGGGTAAAATCACGCAATTCCCACGACATGACAATAACATAGTCTCATTAACACAAAATCTTACTGAGATACAAAGACAAACAGTTCTTACCGAAAGGGTGAATTCTTAATTGTTTGTTAAGAAGTTAGTCATGGTGATTATAGATTTGGAAGTTTGCATTAAAACCGGAATTCGTACAAAGTCAAGGTGAGGCACATGGTATTATATTTGTAGTTGTCAGTTAGATGGTATCTGGGAATTCCTGAAGAGTGGGTTTGGATGCAAAAGGTAGCGAAAACCCTTGACATATGAACTGACCATAATCATATGGGCACCAATGTTCATGTAACTGGAGGGCTATATGTAAAGACATTACTGAAACAGTGGATGCTCGATTACTATCACTTTGACCTTCTTGTTCGTTGTTGAATAAAACCTTATTTTCAGTATCTTCTTCTACTTTTGAACACACAATATACAGAGCATTAGTTATTATTTTGAGTAGGTTATCATTTGCCGAATGGTATATATTTTTGTGCTGACGCTTACTTTAGCTTGCTGGTAGCTACATACTCTGTACGTCCAATATTATACTTAATTGCAATGACACACTCAATGTTACCATCAAGCATACATTCCTTTACACTATGAAGGTCAACATGTGTCTTAAATTAAAATTAACCACTACTCTTTGATATTTTATCTAAATTGTCTAACCTCAAACTGACTTGAGCAGACGGACTGCACTACACTTTTGCGCAGTGTACAATATCTGTTACAACATATGATATGGTAACCCCCCTCACTGTCCTTCAGACATGCACCATAGTAATATCCCATAGCAAATGTACACATGTCTGTCTCAACCAGAAACAACTCTACCTTGTCATTTATACCTTGGGCTAGTAACTGGTTCTGAATACTATGCACTGAATATGTTAAGTTAGCATCTGACATAACTTGTTCGTATAGCTGATTGATATTAGAGATGTGATTGGCTAGTGATTTCACGGAACTTGGTTTACAAATCATATGCTAAGTTATGCTAATTATGCATGACATATACGTGTGACATGACGTATCGTGTATTCTCGCCCAGAGAGGGCGAGTATCTGACCCGTGTGCCACTGGGCTAACCCAATGATGTGATACTGCAAGGGATGAGATGAGACAATGTTAGCAAGTTTGGCTTTGCAGGTAATGCTGAGGCAAATGCTTTGAATGATTTGGTTGTTGTCATCTGTTCTAAAGTGCATGCCCTTTGTACTATGTGTGAGACGTAGTGAGACGTAAAGAATGTCACATGGAAATTTACTGCAATGGGTGAATAACAAATTAGTCTATGTGTTGTCATGGTTGTTTTACACATAGTATGTCCTGAGTAGTTATAGGGCCAGGCTAATATTGGTGGGTATTGTTGTATGCATGCATATACAGATAATCAGCTTTGAATACAGTGTGTGGGGGATTTGTGTCTTTTGATTAGATACCTTGATTGGAACAATGGCTTCCTAAATAAAGACTGTGCGAACTGTATAGTGTTGGATGTACTACCAACAATTTTAAATATTTTTACATTTTTTTTTACTGTTACATGCGTGACTTTAATTCGTCGTAACAGAGTTAGGACTTGTCTGGGATAGAAGAATATTGCTCAACAAGTTTATTAAAGGTCCAGTGACTGTTGCTGTAAGTCTTTAATTTCTAGTGGATGGGATTACGTTTTTACACTTTTGAGCATTTATTTGGCGGTGGAACAAGTGTTGGTGACCGTAGAGTTTCCTAAAACATTCTCCTTGTGTGTGGTAACAAGGGAAATATCTTGACACGGAGGAAACGGAAGAGGAGTGTGTCGTCTGGTCTAGAGATATTTAAATGGCCCCGGCTGTGATATTGATGGCTCAAGTAAATCTGATGAAAGGTGAGCATATGGCAGAGCATCTTGGTGTTAATAAAACTGAAAACCAAATCCTGCTTCACTTGGCAGAGATCCATGGAATGCCCTGCTAATATTACTGCCTACCTGTTAAGTTGTGGATTGTTTACTGAGCATCAGTAAGGCCAATTTTAGCTTACTACTCTCAAAAAGCGAATTAGGCAGTGCTTATTTTTTCGTTCATCATGAACTTCCCAATCCATTCGCCTGAGGAAATTCCATTAATACGTATAGCATCTCCTCATATTATAAATGTACTAATTAACTGGTTTAAATTAGTGGGTTTGTCAAACAATAATAAAAAGGCAAGTTATGAATCAGTCAGAAATTAAGCATTATCATTCATCTCCTATCGTTCCCAATCTTAGAGGGCTTTCGAAATAATACCATCAAATGATTTGAATGAAGGACTACCTCTGCTCTTGTTTGCTACCCAGGAAACAAATTGGCCATGCAGCTCGTTTTCCATTATGACTGCTAAACCAGGAGTGGCTCTCCGACGAGACAGATGTTAACTTATTGGACTATGTCGCTCAATTCAAATATCAAATAACGAAGCATAGGAGGTGGCCCAATAGAACATAAAACTCTCACAAAAGAAAATGATAACATGGTATGACTTTAGAGGAGAAGGTGTCGTCCTATTGCTTATTGCTGAGAAACTTTCACAAGAGAAGTGCCATGATTCTGGGAAGCATCAAGGATCGAAGAATGTGTTACACAAAAGTGCTAAGCAAAATGGCCACGATGTAGATGTGTGTGAACCCCTCCAATTAGTCATCATTTCTATACAGCAAAATCAATCAATATGGACATAGCTCGGAACTAGTTGAACCTGACAAGAATGAGCTCACCAATCTTTCTAGTCTCAGATTGGATTTATTATTGAAGCTAACGAGAATGAACTTGAATGAGAGAGGGTGTTTGTCTGTTCTACAATGCTTCGGCGAATGTTTTGAATACTTTGGTTTACCAGCTGTTCTGAAGTGCTTGCCCTTTGAAAACTTTGGATCAATACCAGATTTATCTGTTTGTTGTTATGACTGTGTCCTGCAAGCTGATATTGGTGTAGACGTGAAGTTGGCGAACATTCTATCTAGATACAAAGTCAAGACTCTTGTTTTAGAAACATTCACTGTCATGATATAATTTCAGACGTGATAGTATAAGAATAAATGTCACTGGTTTGATTCAAACTCGCAACTCCAAGTTCAAATCAAACATCTTTTTCTTTTGTCTACCAGGAAGTCATATTTCGTAGCGTATATTTTCGTACAGTGTAGTTACAAATATTCTTAAGCTAATTATGCAATATAACAATGCAATAATTATAAAGTAATTGCTTAGTACAGACTGACAAAAAGGTGTGGACCACGTAAAAAGAAAAATGAGCGGGAAAAAATAGAACGAAATTATTCAAATCCACAGAAGTGTTATAAGTCAAATAATGTACTTATTATGTATACAACCCAAATACTTGCTTGTTCCGCGATTAGGTAACTCATTCCTTCTCCAATGTTATATAATAGTGTCTTTTTTTCATTTGGGTTTGTCGACCTGTGTGTAGACAATACGGTTGCCGACACACATACAGGGTTAGCGATGCCACCAGTTAAACCCTCTCTTGACGATGCCCCGTATAGAATCACGTAGTGGTAGTAATAGACGTAGATAGTCTATTGATGTGACTTCTCATATGAACCGGGCATGCGCAGTCACAGTGATAGTTTATTATGAATTGGCAAGATTAGTTACAGGCCAATATGTCACTGAGAAGCTGATGGTTGGGTTATCGAGTGGTTTACACGATTAATAAAAATTAAATAATTAAATTTAATAAATGTTTGTTACTGTACAACCCCGATTTTCACTGGCTTTCGCTCTTGCCTTTTGTTTCTGACAAAACTTTTATGTGACGTTCAATTTGTTTTCAGTCTTCACTACGACAGTA